GTTTTACAACCTGTAACCTTAGTTATTTAACACCTTTTGCACATTCGATTGTTTATAATTCCTTTTATTATCTAATTGCACCTTTAGGCTCATTAATTATTTCATTTGGGATTTTTTTATCTTCATTCAATTTATCTAATAAATCTTGGGAGTAGTATCTTTTGTAATCACTATTATTTCGTAAATACCTAGCTATATAGTACGGACAATAATAATTAACCGAAAACTTGAAATTAAGATTCCATGCATCATTTTCTACATTATATCAAAAAATAGTTTTGCGTGTCAGTGCAAGGAAGTTTATTCTGTTTTCCACAAACCCGTATGCCTTGAACTTATCGAGTTGAGAAATCTTCAACTTTTTTTGCCTTCCGTACGGAAAATGTCTTAGCAATGGCCGACTTTGATAGAAAACTTTGTGAAGAGATACAAAAATACCCCCACATGTATACCCTTACTAGAGGAACGTCGGTCTGGAACCCAGGGTAAGGAATCGGCAGAAATATTTAATTATTGGACAGGAGCAAGAAAAATGGCTATTTATACAGGAATCATTGACATCAAACGCGACACATTGACAATAACGGCACAATCCCCCCAAACGGTTCGCAAAGTATTTTTAGGTAGAATATACCAGCATGTTTTGCTGTTCCTTTTAATTTTTTCTCCATACAAGTAGAAGGGCAAGAGGAACATTCCTCGACGGCATGTCTGGAAACTATGAACTGAAAAAGCTTATGGCATATTGTTTCAAGCTTCCCGCATGGACATGCGGAAAACGTACGTGTTCACGTTTTCTGGATATGCAAGATGAAAAGGCATATGCTTCAAAGCTTACTCTTGTGCAGAATTTAGCGTAAGCTAATAAGTTCAGAACTATGAACCCAATTTGAAATACTTGAAATAATATTACCTATCATCGATGGAAGCAGGCAGAGCTGTAGAGCCCCCCATCACATCTAACTCACATGATATCACATTTAGAAGCATCATCTAACTGTCTGGAACTGTCTGGAACAACTGCCTTAAATCAAAGTTGATTTTACCACTTTTTTACTGAATGCACGACAGTGTTATTGCCAAGTGAAAACCGAACGCATTAATTGCATCGATCGAGGAAAAGTCGTATTATCAAGTGTCTTTTTACTGACAAAGCGTAAGACCAAACCATAAATAATTTACTTAAAATCAGTTTTTAAAACTTTTATTCATAAGAGACAAGTAAAACTTTGAGAAAAACAAATAGGGCTAAATTTTATAGACAGAAAATCTGATTTATCGATGCGCAAAACATCTGAATCAGAATATATATATATATATTTAAGGTTTGCACTTCAACGAGACCGCTGTTTTCAATGTGTGTCCTATGCCCTAAGCCTTAAATTGACATATTAAAAGTGAATCTCATAAAATAAAAATATAGTACATTAAATAAATAAAAAGCAGATCTAACTATATACATTCAAATTTAATTTTTATCTTAGTTAAAATGTTCCTACATGTTAGTTAAAACGTTTTGTCTTAAATTATTTGAAGTTTTTAATTTTACAGAGTTCTCGTAGTTGTTTTACTATACTTTTTTCAATGGCTTTGCTGAACGTAGCTTAAGTCACTCCAATCATTTCCAGTTTCATTGTTTGCCTTTATTTAAAGGAATTCGTCTAATGAAGAAGCAAGAACGCGGGAACCCGTTCGCCATAAATTTTAAAACTTTCCGGTCAATAAAGAACCAAGGATTGTTCTTCTATTTTTTTAATGGCTAGATTCTTCTTCTTCTTCTTCTTCTTCTTCTTCTTCTTCTTCTTCTTCTTCTTCTTCTTCTTCTTCTTCTTCTTCTTCTTCTTCTTCTTCTCCAACCTCCAAAAGTCCTACCGACAACAAGTAAACAGTTAAAAATATCCAAATGAAATGACATTTTAAAACATTTGAGCTGAATATGATTAACTAGGTTGTTGCAAGTTCCTCCATTTTGGCAAGGAGAGCTTGCACATTCATTGATATTTGTCGAAAATATAATTGTTTATGTATATAATTACTGATGGAAAAAAAGCTGCATATCAAAAACGATTGGGTGAAATCAAAATAGATAACCATCAATATCAATAGAAAAATATGATATCGATATCTCCTATGAACTTGTAGAAATTCAGCTCGATATTTACACGACAAATGTAGATGCAGAATGTCTCTAAGCAAATACTGGCATATCACATTTCAAAATCGACATTGTTAACACACTTCAAAATCGACAGCTAAATCAGCTACCATGTTGCAATACAAATGTCCGGCAAATGCTTGAAAATGTCGCACTTGTGTTTCAGCAACAAATAAAATTGTTTGCACAGTTTGCCGTGAACACAAATGTATTCTAGTTTAGTCAACTTTCAAGTAGACAATTAAGCTTATTTTTTCTCTATTTACACGCAAAAATGCAATTCGTAGAGGCAACGAAGATGATTGAGAAGCAAAGGGCTAGCGCAACGAGCAATGATTACAATACTAAACCAAATCAAATTTGGCTAGACAACGATAGTGTGTTACTTTTTGAGATGTGCCAAATGAAGTCCAGCTTACGGTGCACGCTCAAAGCAAGGCCCTCTCTCCATCTAATTAAATTCACTCTTCACAGCTCACAATTCACTGATGTAAACCAATCTAAACTTGGAGATATGCGTTACCAGAAATTTATTAGGCTGGAGCAAGTAGTTTGGTCAACCTCTTGGCACCAGAATCTGTTTCAAACTTAAAAAGATTGGTCTCAATGACGACTTTTTAAACACTGTATGTTTCACCTGCCAAACGACAGTGAAGACACATACCAAAGAAACATTTGCTATGTGTCTTCCGAAACAAATCATTGAATATAATCATCGCACATGCCGGTTCAATTGTACTGTCCCTCTCGGTTACTATCAAGAGACAATTTCATACCTTCTCCGCAGTTGTACCCGGAGTAACCAGGTGCACATACACAGGAGTACATATTCAAATGATCAATGCATTGTTCACCGTTTTGACATGGCATGCTAGCACATTCATCTATGTCTGCAACAGGAGTAAGCTTGAACATAAACATATAATCCGAAAAGGAACTTTCTAAAATGCTAAAATTTAGAATTCTTGCAGAAATTCACTTTCTCACGAAAAGTTACTTTTGAAAATTGGTAAGATGTTAATGCTCGAGTTTATAAATTGTCTTGAACAAAAGTCTGTTTTGTCTTAGATAATAACTTTCCTTCAGGGTATAACTTCAGGGAAGTTTGGCAAGAAAGTATCAGCACTTTTGTAATCTCCAGTGGTGAAAGAGGTTGGACTGGTAAACTTAGGGACAAAAAGACGTGGATGCTCCTTTCAAAGTGCTTTCATTATTCCAAAATACGAGTTGTGTGTATACATTGAACAATTTGTTCAGGAACCGGGACTATAGGGGTAAATTGTGTACCAAAGAATAAATAAACACAAATAGTAATAAAGATGGCATGGAATGAAACGTCGTGTATATCACATAAAACTTAGAGGAATGATGATTTTAGATTTTTTTAAGGGAAGATTTATTATCAACACTTCTTTTTTACATTAAATATGGTACTAATTTTAATAGTACTCGACCAAAGATTAAACTGCTAAACAAACAAACCTTTCATGGAGTCATTCTTTGAATTATTCAGAATTTTTTAAAAAAAGGAAAAGGATTATTTCTTTTTCCAAAAGCTACCTGATTCACAATGTTTTCCTTGGAATCCAGATTTACAAGTACATTCGAAGCTATTCAGCTTGTTAACGCAGGTCCCGCCATTAAAGCAGGGAAGACTGGCGCATTCGTTGATTTCTGTTGGAAGTAAATGAGGATTTTAAATGTTATCTTCTTAGTTATTCGAATGTTATCAGTCATGGTGCAACTGACATGCAAAAATTGAGAACTGACGATAGCAATATTTCAACACATATCCACAAAACTGGCTGCTTTTGTGAACTGAATTTGGTAAAGTGAAAATCAGTTCGCAATGAAAGACATCGCATTTTCTCAACAGGCTATAATCTACGGAGTGAGACTTATGTTATTGAGTTATTGAGATTTATGATAAAAGTCAGCAATCATTTAGATAAAACTAGATGTACTAGCCTTGTTCACATGCAGTGCCAGTGTATCCAGATGCACACGTACATTTGTAGCTCTCTTCGGTATTTGTACATGTTCCATTGTTCAGACATGGGTCACTTTCACATTTATCTTCATCTACAGAGAAAGATTTCACTTTTAATTTCAATATTAAATATACCAAATTTCTAGCTGCAAACTTTCTAGCAATTAGATATTTAAAAGAAAAATTTTCTACTTTGTTTGAAAAGTATTTAAAAAGAAAGATTATACACCACTCATATTTCCATAAAATCTTTTCACAATACCTAAACACACGACTATCATTATTAATGATTTCATGCTATAAAAAGCCAGACGTATATTTTTCTAATTTTGTATGCAGGGGCGGATCTAAGCAACAATGATTGGGGGGGGGGGTGTTAGACACCTTTTGGTGCCACACCTTTCAGGTCACTGGTAAATTATGGAAACGCCTATTTTTAAAATTCCGTTTTACTTTAAGGTTAAGATGATAAAAAGTAGTGGCGTAGCCAGGTTTGGAAGATTGGAGGGGCAAAGAGGAGAAAAATTTTGCTGACCACACCCGTAGCAATTTAGGTAAACACCCCATTTTGCAAAGCTATGGCTTTTTTACGTGGCAATTTTGCTTTATACAACGTCATATCTGGATTTTTGTGGCTGACCCCATTCTACCTATTTCTGCCTATTTCCTTGACAATTCATCTAACGCTTACATTCTAAATTGTGTAAGGCGAGGAAGCACTACGTGTAAAAGCGTTTTAACATTGTCTGAAATAAGAAGTCCCCCTTTAAGGTACTAACTCTATTGCAGATTTGAACTTTTCTCAGACACCGACTTTCTGAGCGGCCGCTCCCCTTGTCTCCCCCCGCTACGCTACTGATAAGAAGATAAATAATGATATTAAGGAGATAAATAAAGTAAAATCTTGGCGTTAATTTGTTACTGCTGACTACCAAAAAATGATTTTTACCGAACGGAACCAAATTTACAGAAGGAGACAGAAAAATTTGAGGGGGGGGGGGGTGTCGCACCCCCTATTTATGCAGTAAGATATTTCTGATGTTGGGAAACCTTGCAGCTTGTCGCAATGTAGGCCCGTTTGCTTTTTATCACAATGAATGCATTCGTAGTAGGGATGGTGACACGTTTCCCTGCAGAGGACGTTACTTGCACACGGATGAAGTTTCTGGCATGTCTCTCCAACCTGGGAAAAGATTAGATTTATCATTATGAAAATGTCCACGATTCCTTATTCTTCTATGAACATTCAACATTTGGAAGAATTCCAATTAGTTTTACATACTTTCTTCAATATCTATTTTCCATATGATTTAGTTCCTATCGGCAAAATTGCATGGATTAAACATCTAACTCACCTCTGTCTGGTTGTAATCTGTTGACTTGTAAACCCAGCCAGGTCTTTGAACAAGACTACTTCCATTTTCACCAGCAATCTTACTGTTCAGTTCACAAATGGCAGTGACATTCTGTATATTGTATGATTTGCATTTCGGATGCTTTACACATTCCAACGTGCAGTCTGCATCATGGATACCTTGTATTGTTGCCAACAGGCTTCCTTGTAGGGACCAATCAACTTCGAATATCGTGAAATCTGCATGGACCAGGCAAGGGAGGCGAAGAATCAGCCCATTGCAATAATTCCATAGATTTGCAAGCATCCATAATCTGGAATATATCATATTTTTCATGAAACTTTAAACTTCGTATCGTTAAAATTTATTTTATGTTGCAATTTATCCTTGATTTTCTGAAATTATTTGAAATCTGTTGGTATGAGTTCCTTCACGGAAAGCTCATACCTATTGTAAAAAATCTGTTCAATATCTTTGATTAATTAGGCAGGAAAGTCATCGATCTGGTTTAGTAATACAACAGGAAGTCATTCTGGACCCCTGTTCTCACCTTATTTATATAACACTTAGCTCTAGCCAAGAGGGTTTTAGATCCTCTGAATACTGTAATTATTCGAATTAATGCCAGAGCTCGAAAAGATGCCGGTTTTGAGTAGACGCCAGACAAATGTTCCTAGTTTTGAACTGCCGAGGGCGGTCATTCGAGGTAGATTATATTCAGATATACAGAAGGCATTCAGAAATAGCAAATAATCAAGATTTCTGTTTCAAAATTGTAAAAAATATCAAAGTTAAATTAGCAGAAACAATTAATTTTAAAAAAATTATTTGGTGCTGTCAATAATGTACGCCGGGTTTTAAATAAACGCCGGTTTTGAATAAAGCCGGGGTGCAAAATATGCTTTAAGAAAAATCGCCGGGGCGTCTTTTCAGGCAAATGCTGTATTCAAAAAAAGCTATGTAAACCTGAATTATTCTCTCTTGATTAATCGCTCATTTGTGCCTTAAGAAATGTTAGTTTTGCTACCTTAATAAACACTAACAATTGTAAAGTACCTTGTGTTATAATTGCATTTCACATTCAAACCGCTGATAAACGGAAAAGCTAAAGGACTTTCAATCAGATCAATTAGATTTATATTGTACGTACCTTAACAGCGTTGAAAGACCACGAAAGGCATTGAGTTTGGCGTTTTCTCTCTTTAAATTAACTTTGTTCAGCATCTTTTAATGTACTTCAAAGGAAAAAAATTATTTTATAGACAAATGCACCAAAAAGATTATTTTTCACTGCGTGAATTTTCTGTAACTTCTTTCTCGTTCTGTCGTTCTTAAACCGTATCATTCCGTCGTTATGTCGTTTGCTATGGTGTACAGAGGGGGGATTTGTTGGCGTAACCCTTCGAAGTCGTTTAAGACTACATCCTTTATCTTAGAAAAGGGCCCTTCTACAATTGTAGTGCTGCACCTTCTAATAGATCCTATTTTTCAAAGGTATATTATTCAAAGATGTTAGCTCCCTGCATATTTGCGCCACAAATATGCTTCAAATTGGTAATTTAGTATTTATCAAAAAATGCATCAGATGAAAATGCAATGAAATTAGAAAAAATTTCATATAGCGTTATTTTAATGCTCTTAACGCAACGCTGTGGAACTGCAAGCACAATTAAAGCATGTTTCCATTGTCGTGTGAACAACTGTTGAAAAGGTTCGTTCCATTCCATTCAAGTTTGAACTTAGGCTAGGGTTCGCGGCTCAAATAAACGACTCTAAAAATGTACGAGTATAAAAATATTCTAGTATTAAAGTAAATACCATCAGTACGATGTCCGTATCTCGAGTCTCTTCTGTTCTTCTGGATCATTAAAGACCCAAAATTGGTGGGTCTAGCCTCTTATAAAAGCCGGCCTATTGACATCAAATGAAATTCATTTTGATTATTTGGAATAAATTAGTGGTAATCTGAGTCATGTTTTGTTGGCAGGTTCCTTCCAAAAAGTAATCATCTGTGGTTTTTGAGTATTATTTTTAACTTTAAGTTTCAATTCTTTTTCTCGGGTCAGCATTCGAAATGAATCTTCGTAGTTTGTCTATTATTTTATTATTGATGTCATGTTTTTTTGTAGTACCTTACCCGCAATTTCTCCTTGCATTTTACCAATAGTTTGATTGATGTTATTTGAAATATCTCGTTACACGTTATGCAATTTAACGGTGTTGGACCCGAATTAAGTCCGGTCAGGCTGATACCGAAAAAAGTCCGGTCAGGCTAGTACCGAAAGAAGTCCGGTGAAGCTGATACCGAAAGAAATCCGGTCAAGCTGATAGCGAAAGTAGTCCGGTCAAGCTGATACCGAGAGAAGATTTTGCATATTTTGAGACATTTTGCCATGCTTTTTCGCTCATATGATCAGAACTTAAAATTTAAAAATAAATGTTTATGATGTCAACACTTTAGCACTCCCCTGTCGATCTGCACAGTTCAGCAAACTGGCCATCTAATTCACTAGTGGAGTGAGTTCATGGAATGGTAGTGAGTTCTATTCCAGCGATCGTGAACGATCCATAAAGATCCATGATCGAGAACGATCCATGATACAGTTGAGGTGACAAGAGAAAAACAATCATTAGCAATTGTAAAATGGCTGGAGATAGGAAACTCGACAAAATTGGACCCGGAGAAGCTGAGCTCATATTAAAAAATATAGGGACGGCCTATGGGCGATCCTCAGGGATTCGCAGCGATTTCTAGTCAGCCTGAACAAAAACTGGATCAGTTCCATTAATTAACTTCAACACTATTTACTAATAACTGTATGCATTAAAAGCAAGTAGCTTTATTCACTTTTTCGTTGTGCTCTAGATCAAAATTTTGTATCAATCTCAAAGAAACATTTATTATAAATCTGTTTGATGGTTGAACGAATCAGAGAAAAAAGGATGAGAACTAGAGAACGGCGTAGAGGTATTTACCAAAAAATGTCCGTGTGCTATAGACTTTGAAATAGGTATATTATTTAAATGCACATTACTACAACAATAAAGAAGAAATGATAAAGAACATATCACAAGTTGATGTTACAAAGAACATATAAAATTGTCTGCAAGGGAAGGGCTTTTTTTAGGTTGTAGGTTTCAAATATGCTTTATATGTTTTTAAACAATTCTAACCTGACTCAATTTTGCGCTGCATTTTGTAGCATTTTGGAAATAACATATCTGTTAGACTTATGTCCTAAATTGCAATTAATTAGCATAAAACGATAAGCAGACCCTCAAGGTTTTCCAAAGGTATTACGAAATTTTGCAAACTTAGGACGCTTTCAAAGGTTCAACTGTTTCATGCATATCTCTTCTCTGTGAGATTTTGTAAAGATTTCTTTCCCAAAATATCAAGATAAGAATTGTTCAGCTTCTCTGTTTTCAAACAGGTTATAAATGTTGGAGTTTGTCAGCTTTTTAATTTACCTGAAGATGTCAACTGCTTCTTTGTGATCTCAGACAACTGCGTCAACTTCGGTCAAGAATATTCTCATTTTTCTATCAAAACCACCATGACGATGATTCTTGAGAAAAAAATTTAAAATCTTATGTTGGATTGAGTTTTTGGCAAAATTGCCTTTATACCTTAAAAAGATAATCGCAACATGAAAAATCATAATCAATTTAAAAAACTTTAATGTACCCCCTTTCTTTTTCTGCGTGCCAAAGATAACTTGGGCAAAGGCAGAGACCAACATAGTGCCTTGCCCAAGAATTTCAAAGTCGTAAGAAGTGAGCTGAATATTAAAGATCCAGGTGTGGAACCAAGGTAACGTGAGAGGCAGAAAGACTCGTCGCTGGAATAAATTGGAACCTTTTTGCTCTAATGATGCTTTTAGTTCACACTTGGATATAGATTTTATGCTTACTTTCGGTCATTATCAGACTTTTATACTATAAAAAGTGTCGGATAGAGAAAACCTTATTATCCTATGTTTCTACTTTTTCGTGCCATCTTCACATTTTGTGTTACCAAAAACCTATTTGGTCACATATTTACAGCAAGTACAACGCAGCATTACAAAGCATGCCTTCTACTTTTATTAGTATTATTGTGATAACCATACCATCTTGGCAATGATATCCGCTGTATCCTCTCGCGCATGAGCACTTGTAGCTGGCTGTTTGATTTGTGCAGTTGCCATTATTTTGACATGGGGAGCTAGCACATCCGTTGTATACTAAAAATATTTCAGTTAATATTATCAACAAAATGTGACAAATTGAATTTATTCTTCAACATTTCCAAGTAGAATACAACGACTAAGGTTGTGTCCACCAATGGTATACGGATTGCTTGGAATTTTAAAAAAAATGTTGCCAAAAGGTAAGTCTCGCAAGCCCTTCAGATTTTCCAATTTGAAAAAGGCTTGCTACTTATGCTGCTGGTAGAAGAGGCAGAGATTCACGATCTGATTATTCTGAAGTGCATATATCTATAGAGACTGTATGTTAACTGTAAAGCACATGTTTTTGATATAATGGTACCATGATCAATTTCGTTTTGCAGTCAAACAAGAGGATATATTACTGTCTGTTTTGAATCCAATCGCTATTGCGTAGGCTTTGAAAGCTAAAACGTCTTCAGAATCTTCTTTTTCGAACAGTTTCTGGCATGTTCTACGTGCAATAAGTTCAACATTGCCTAGGGGCTACCACTAGTCACAGCCATTTTGAAGACGCCGTGCAAGTTTGGGAGAGCTGCTACTCGTTTCCTCTTCATAATTTCTAAATGCGTTTCTTATTATTTGAAAAATGTGTATCCGTGGCTTGAAGATTTGATATGCTAAGAAAGTAAAGGGTATAGTAAAAAATAATATTCGATGCCCTTAATTGAGATCCAGGAATAAATTTGTGTTATTAATTGCTCTTACATATATCTGCCGTCGTGTTTGCATGTGTTGTCAATCTTTATAAGCAAAATATCTAGACAACTCAATTTAAAAGAACAAAATTTACATGATAGTTGAAGAAAATTCTTACCAGCACAATTTACCCCAGTCCATGGAGTGGTGCACTGACAGGAATAATAGCCAACCTGATCATTGCAAGTTCCTCCATTCGAACAGGGACTGCTTGCACATTCGTTGATGTCTGTTTGAATCGAAAAGGGTTCTTTAATATAATTTTCAAAGGAAACATGACTTTTTTCATAAATATTAGGAAGATTCGTATTCAAGATCCCACAAGTCTGGCTTTGGAAATTATCTCTAAATACTCATTTGTAAGAACCTACTATTTTCAGAGTTCTTAAATTCCTATGTTACTACACGCGGGTTTTTACTGTATCGAAAATGATTTTACTTTTATGTTGGCGTGTAAAATTGAAGCAGAGAATCTTCAGCATTCCAAAGGTTGAAGAGTACTTTTCTATTGAAAAAAGCAAACATTTAAAGATGCTTTGGAATGTTTAAAAATTGTTCAAAGCCGAACGCTTGCAATCACAACAAACAAAGCAATTCACATAATTTGCTATATCATTTTTTATAAACATGCTGTTTTCTTAACTCAGGTGACTTTCGCTACGTTAAAGATGTTTGAAATTTTATTCTTATTGGATTGATAATGAGAAAATTCATTTTCATTTGCAAGTCAACTAGGTTTTCGAATATAATTGTGAAATGTCATACTAGTCGAGCAGTCAAATCCACCGTATCCTCTGAGGCACGAGCAGCTGTAACTGTTTGTCAGATCTGTGCAATTGCCACCATTTTGGCAGGGGGAGCTACCACACTCGTCAAGATCTAAGAAATTTATTTGATATTATTGATAAAAGTTTACAAAGCGGATAGATTCTTTTGCGAATTAATTGAGAGATAAAATTTTGATTGCAAGCATTTAATTGAAAGCTATCAAGAAAAGATACCATTTTAGTCAATTTGGATAAAGTTGTTTCTTTTCCATTTCTCTTCTGTGTGACAACAATGTTTACGGTCTGGATTTAGCTAGGAAGGACATTGATTTAAGCTTTAGGAAACCAATAAATGCTAACCAAAATGGCAGCTAATATTGTTTCAGCTACCATTGTACTGATTGTTTGCAACCAAGGGCCAAGATTGGCTTTCAAATGTGGGAGGAGGGGGGCTTTGATTTCCGCCATTTTAAAGAACATAGAGATTCTCAAAATTACCTCTTGATATAATAGGTATGACTTCAACAATTCTTTGGGGTCTCAAGAACTTTAGCCCCTTTGTCACCTTGGCCTTTGTTTGCAAAAATGACTTATGGTATCCCAAAAAAATCTATGCACCCTTTTTTTAAGTAACAATTACAACTATAACACCTACTTGTCTCGCATCTGTTTTCCTGAAAACCAGCAGCACAAGAGCATTGGAAGCTTGACGCA